AATTTGAAGAGGTCATGCCACATATTTTCAGACTTTCCTCATTCGGTTCAGGCCAGATAATATTCAGACATTCCTCAACTTGAGTTTGCCTGAAATTTCCTGATGATTAATTCAGATTATGCATTTTGGGCAGGTAACCATGGAAGTGATGATGTGTCATTCTCAGGAGTAGCATGCTTGAAGGCACATCGTGTATATTTGTCCTTTTGTTAATGATCTTGTCTTTGGTCATTTAGTGAAGGTGATCTATTCCAAGTTTCTCCATTGAGTGTTTCTACTTTTCTTTTTTTAATTAGTAAGTGATATGTGGAAAGACACTTTCCGACTATGGAAATACCTTGTTGATCATGCTTTAACTCACAAGTGCTGATTCACAGGTGTTTGTTTCACCCAATCAGGTTAACTATGTTTGCCTAATGATGGTGTACTGACTCTTACCAGCACATCTATATTATAAGTGGCATGTTATGCAAAAGAAGAATTTTCCTATCCTTATACTCTTTTTCATTTATATTTTATTGTCTGTAATGGATTTTAATTCTTTATGGTTATTAATTATTTTGATTTCCCAATTGTCCAAGATTTCACTGCTGAGAGCTTTTGAAGTTACAGCCTTTGTCCTTTGTTCCCATCATTTTTAAATGCCAGAGAAAAGGTTGCTACCTTGAATTCCATATTTTTATGTCTCCTTTCCCATGTCTGTTATTCCAGGATAGTTTTTCAGTATTTTAATAGTTACAGTGGACTTTCTGAGAGTAAGTTTTGTGTTGGTATTAGAACATTTGTTTTCCTCTTTTCTGCTCCTCATAGGTTTTCTGGACCCCTTAGATCTCTGCAATACATATAGGGGAGCTCGAAAGATATCTCTGTTGGAAATTGTTGTTTAATTTTCTGTTTATAAGCAATTTAACATTTTTATTATTCCCCAATTTCCAGTTATGTTAAAGATCTAGGATTTGTGTGAGGTATTTTGTTTGTTTATTTTGATTTGTTGACTGTATATATTTTGCTCAATTTGTGAAATGTTTCAGATTTAGGTAACTGCTATTAATGCTACCCAGAACTCTAGCTCCATATTTTTAAAGCATTCTACAAAACATATTGTTATTTCAACTTATTAAAAACATGCCACAATGTAATCAGAAAGTGTGGATTGAATAGCCTTACCTTTTGTGGTCAGTGTTAATCCAGTTTATTTAGTTAAATTGAATTGTTTTTTTTCTCTATTGTTTTTTACCAAATGGCATATTTGCCAATCCAGGAAGTCTCTGAAAGATGTGTGCTTGGTAAAATCATTACTGGAGATAATTTCCTTGATTTGTACCAATCAATTGTGTTTGTAAATTTCTCCATTAGCTTTAAAAATGATCAAATGTGTATTTAGATAAATGGATATTCAAACCCATGAAATTAAAAAAAAAGTATATAGAATAAAATAAGGTAACTAACTAATCAATAACGCCTGAGTATAAAAACCAGTGAAATGTAGTTTTAAGCAGTTGCTTCAACTAATGAAATAAGCTTTTGAACCTAATTGAGGATAGTCCTTCCTCCAGTTTCATAATAAAGAGATCCGATTGTAGTTGGTATGCAGGGATCAGGAACAAAACACCAATGTTTGAAAATGGAAGAGTGGAGGACAGCTTTGCAAAAGTAGGACATAGCTGAGGGCAGAAAGTATGTTTCATCCAAGAGAGACAACCATTTCTATGTTCTCTGGAGGCTCAGCCTAACAAAAATCTTTGCTCTTTCAAAAAGCTAAAAATGAGGATTCTTATGAAAAATATTCCACTTTTGAATATTTTAAAAATACTTTTGAATCCATGATGTGGAATAAACAAACCATGTCAATAAGCCAGATTTGGTTGTTACACTCCACTTTGCAACTTCTACTCTGAATGCAATGGAGGGACTAATAGGTGTTGCAGTGAGAAGTAATTGGGTCAGAAAAACTGATTCTGAGCCTAGGATCACCTCTTAACAGTTGTGTCAAATTGGGGAGTCACCTAATTAGTGTTAGCTTTAGTTCTCTTGCCTATAAGAATGAATATGCTGAAGTGTAAAGAAACATACATTTCTGCCAATAGTTGCTTTGTAAGTCTATTGAAATTATATATGAACTAGAGAGGCCTAGTGCATGAAATTCATGCACTGGAAGGGAGGTCCCTCAGCCCGGCCTGCCCCCTCTCACAGTACAGGAGCCCTCAGGGGTGGGAGGCGATCCAGTGATCAGGGGAAAGCAATGTCCCCATCACACCTCTGCTGCTGCCACTCCCAGCAGAACAAGTCTCGGCCGACCCTGGTTACCTGAGCATCTGATGGCCCTGGGTGGCTGGGCAGTTGCCATCTGATGCTTGCTTGTGCCTTGGGCTGGCCTTGGGTGGCTAGAGAGCTGAGGTCCTGGGGCACTCTGGAACAGGTGCCCCAGCGGGGCTGAGGAGACTGGGTGCCGCCATATAGTGGTTGTGGGCACTGCCATCTTTTAATGGCAGCAATTAGCATATTCCCTCCTTATTGGCTGTGGATGCGGCCATCTTTGTGAGGGCATGACAGTCAGCATATTCCCTCTCTATTAGATAGATGAATTTGCTTCTTTATTAAGCTTTAATTTAATCTGGGACCCTTCGAGGGATATCTGACTGCCCATATAGGTCTGATCCAGGTAGATTCAGGAATAAACGGGCAATCAGACATCCCTCTCACAATCCAGGACTGCTGGCTCCCAACTGCTCGCCTGCCTGCCTTCTTGATGCCCCTAACCACTTCTGCCTGCCAGCCTGATCACCCCTAACCACTCACCTGCCAGCCTGATTGATGCCTAACTGTCCTCCCCTATAGGCCTGGTTACCCCCAACTGCTCTCCCCTGCAGGTCTGGGTCCCCCCCCAACTGCCCTTCACTGCAGGCCTGGTTGTCCCCAACTTCCCTCCTCTGCCACCCTGGTCACCCCTAAATGCCCTCCCCTGCAAGCTTGATTGCCCTCAACTGCCCTCCCTTGCAGGCCTGGTCCCTCCCAAATGCCCTCCCCTGCTGGCCTGATTACCCACAACTGTCCTGCATTGCAGACCAGGTCCCTTCCAACTGTCCTCCCCTGCTGGCCATCTTGTGGTAGCCATCTTGTGTCCACATGGGGTCAGTCATCTTTGACCACAAAGGGGCAGCCATCTTGTGTGTTGGAGTAATGGTCAATTTGCATATTATTATTTTATTAGGAGGATTAGATAGGATAGAGGCCTGGTGCACGGGTGGGGACCAGCTGATTTTCCCTGAAGGGTTTCCCAGATCAGGGTAGGGATTCCCTTGGGACATGGGGGCTGCCTGGATAAGGGGCCTGGGGTGGTTTGCAGCCTGGCCACATCCCCTGGCCACCCAAGCAGAGGCCCTGGTATCTGGGATTTATCTTCTATAATTGAAACTCTGTTGCCTTGAGTAGAGTTCTGGGTCAGCCAGGGTGTGCGGAAAGCTTGGCATCCTCCATTGCTGGGAAAACCCAAGCCTCCCTCCTGCTCTCTGTTGCCATAGCAATCTTGGTTGGGTTAATTTGCATATTTGCTCCTGATTGGCTGGTAGGTGTGGATTGTGTGTGTAGCAGAGCTATATTCAATTTGCATATTACTCTTTTATTAGAAAGGATAGAGAGAGGAAGGGAATGGGAAAGAGAAATAGAAACATAGATGAGAATCATATATTGACTGTCTCCTGCATGCCCCTTACTGGGATTGAGCCCACAACCCAAAGCATGTTCCCTGTCCAGGAATTGTACCAGGGACCTCTTGGTGTATGGACTGATGATCTCTAACTCACTAGCTGGGCTCTAATTTATCTTTGACATTTAAATATAAATTTGTTAATTATGTCTATAATTTACTCTTATTTGAGAGTCTTTGTGTGAACCAATAATAAAATCATTCATTCTTATGCCTTTGCCATCCTGTTGTGTTTTTTTTTTGGTTTGTGTTTTTTTTGCATACTCCAGGAAGATATCCAATTCAGCGTCTAGTCTGTTTGGTGAACTGGTTACACCTAGTTTTGGTGAACACAAAAGCACACCATCTGTAGTAATAAACTGGTATTTCTATTTAGTACTATGAAGCAGATCTCTCTGGCCAGAAATTCTGTTGATTTCTGAGAACTAATGTTACTATAACGGTGCTTGCTGCTCAGGAGAATTTTATTTGTATTGTCCATAGTGTGTGTGATCTATCCGAAAAAAACACATTGTACCTTAAAGGATTATTTTAAATATTATTAGGTTATATGTTATTTTGTTTCTTTTGAACAATTCTTTTATAAAACAGTATACCCCAAAACATAAAATCCTATTTATGGTGAAATATAATGAACTTTGAAGTAAATGTACTCTTCCCAACATTTGTTTTGTTTAAAAATAAACAAAACAAATTAATTAATAAAATTTTATTAAGTAACTTTCTCCTTATAATTACATTGACTTTCTTAAAAAAAAAAAAGAAAGAAAATGAATGTTTGTGTATTTTTGTGAGGCATGCAAGTGGCATTCTTACATTTTTCTCAGTGTGTGGTCTTCAATTAAAATTGACATGCAATTACAAAGTGAATTGGTGCAATTCTCTGGGTAAATCAAGCAAACCTCTCCATCAGAGATCATAATACATTAGACAAAGATGCATTTTAAAACCTGAATTGTTTGAATGACCACCTCAGATCTCCAATTTCATTTACCTACAGACATCTCATGATTTTGAATTGCTTTATGTTGTTTTGCGGGCATTGTGCTTCTTGTATATGATTCTGTGTGTAGACTCTTGACTCTTATCTAAGAGTGCCCTCCTTGACGGATGTTTAGAACAGTTGGAAATATTTTTATTCATCAGCCCATTATATTTTGTAAGAGGTACAGTCTATAGTTCACAAAATTTTATTCCAGTATGTTAAGCATGTAGTGTCTCAGTGTGTGTTGGTCTGGATTTGTATTTCTGTGTCCTTGGCAAGTTGCTTACTCTTTTGTTTTTCTTTTCACAGATGCATTTTGTAGGAGTATTTTGAGGATGACTGTTTGCAAATCATTTTGAAATTGCCAAGCGCCACATACAGTAAGTAATATGTATTTCTATTTTTTCCCTCAATTGCAGTCATACTGAATGAATTTGGCAGACTGTCATAAAAGAACACATTTCTATTTACAGTTCTTGATACTTGTGAATATTGAGAAAAACTATATAAAAGATAAAAACAAGTTGTTGGCTAGTTGGAATTAAGTTGTATAACTTTAAGATTTCTATTTTTTAAATAAGAAAACTGAGACTTAAGAAGTTTTAATGCCTTGCTAAATATCTATTTAAAGTGTTGAATCTGGCCATTGGATATAAGACTTTTAAAAAAAAAAATATGCCTTCAGCAGTAGCAGAAAAAGTAAAATAACTTTTATTTAAGAGCCTGGATGTTTTTAAGAGTACAGACATGTCCTGATTATTTTTTTGAGTTTTTATATTGCTTAAGCATTATCCTGAAAATGTTGCAGGCTTTTTTTTCTTTTTTTTTCTTTTCTGCTTATCATGTCATTGCTTTCATTTCAAATTATGCTTTCCAATCCTTACTTGAACTGCTTTGAACTAGTAGGAAATAAGTGAAATGTAACTTCTTTAAAGAAAGAGTATATAGTTCACCTAAATTATTCTTTTTTTTTCTTAAATAAATTTTTATTGTTCATATTATTACAGTTGTTCTCCCCCCCCCTTCCCACCCCTCCCCTTCCCTTTCCCCACTCCCCATTGTCCTCATCCATAGGTGCACAGTTTATGTTCAGTCTCTTCCCACATCCCCCTCTCCCCTTTTCCCCAAGAATCATCAGTTCACTCCCCTTCCATACCTCTGATTCTATTATATTCAACAGTTAATATTGTTCCTTAGATTTTTTTTTTAATTTCCTTGGTTTTTAGATTCACTTATTGATAGTTACGTATTTGTTGTTCATAATTTTTATCTTTATTTACTTTCTCTTCTAAAAGAACCCCCTTCAGCAATTCATATAATTCTGGTTTGGTGGTGATGAACTCCTTTAGCTTTTTTTTTATTAGTGAAGCTCTTTATCTGGCCTTCTATTCTGAGTGATAGCTTTGCTGGGTAGATTATCTTTGGCTGTAGGTTCTTACTATTCATCACCTTGAATATTTCTTGCCATTCCTGTCTGGCCTGCATTTTCTGTTGAGAAATCAGCTGACAGTCGTATAGGTGCTCCTTTATAGGTAACTACCTTCTTTGCTCTTGCTGCTTTTAATATTCTCTCTTTGTCTTTTGCTCTTGGAATCTTAATTATGATTTGTCTTGGTGTGGTCCTCTTTGGATTCCTTTTATTTGGAGTTCTGTGTGCTTCCTGGACTTATAAGTCCAATTCTTTCACCAGGTGGGGGAAGTTTTCTGTCACTATTTCTTTCAGTATGTTTTCTATATCTTGCTCTCTCTCATCTTCTGGGACCCCCATAATTCTGATGTTGGATCGTTTGAAGTTGTCCCAGAGGTTTCTTACATCATCTTCAATTTTCTGGATTCTCTTGCCTTCTAGCTTCTGCAGAGGAGTGTCTTCTGGCTCTTTATGTTCCAAATCTTTGACTTGATTCTTGCGATCTTCTATTCTGTTTTTAGGATTCTGTATAATATTTTTTATTTTAGACAATGTATTCTTTATTTCTTGTTGATCCCTTTTCACATCCTCATAGGTCTCATTTATTTTATCTGCCTTTTCTAGGAAACTCTTGAAAAACCTTATAAGTGTGGTTTTGAACTCTATATCCAGTCGCTTTTTGTCCTCCATTTCTTTCGTTTGTAATCTATTTGGGTTAGGCATTTTTGCAGGCAGCTTTCCTGATGGAGCGGGGTTTCAGGGTGGAGCCTACAGCTTTGGCTTCAGTCAGCCCTGACCTATGCAACTCCTGAGACTCAGGGTCCTTCAGTACTCATTGCGAGCGACTCTGAGAGAAAGGTGCCCACGATCGCCTGCTACCAAACAGTCTATGCTCTCCCCCAATGAGCCCGGTATTGAGGTTCAGTTCAGTTGGAAGTGGAGTTGGAGGTGGCGTTCAGAGCAGTCCGGAGCCCCGGTCTCCTTCCCGCCAGGTCAATCCCCCAGCACAGCCAACCATCCCTTCTCTGCGCGCAATGTGCGCGACGACTCCGAGACCTTTCGCAGCTCCTGGGGTTCCGCCTTACAGCCCAGCTCCCCTTGAGCCTGGGTCCCCGGGGTCTGGCCTAGAACTGGGGTTCAGAGCAGCCTGACCTGGGTCCCAACACAGTCGGAACTTTTATCTCCTTCCCGCTAGGGAACGCCAGCCAGGTACTCAGCCTCCCTCCCCTCCGGCTCTGTCCTCTCCGCGCGCCGCGTGTTTCGGTACCTTAGGCTCTTACAGCTCCTCCGCTCTTCCTTCTGGTTATCTCCTTGCTTCTTGTTGTAGAATTTCCAGTCAGTTGACTTTCCTGTAGTTCTGGGTAATGTCCATTTTATATTTTAGTTGTATTTATTGAAATTGTTGCGTGCGGCTGCGGCTAGGTGCCTACCCGAGCAGCCATCTTGGATTCTCTCTAAATTATTCTTTTACTAGAGGCCCGGTGCATGATATTTGTGTACTTGGGGTGTAGGGGGAGTGGGGAGGCAGTCCCTCAACCAGGATTGCAAGGGGTGCAGGGAGGGATGTGGGAAGTTGGCTAGCTAGGGAGGGACCCATCTCACTCAGTCCCTATTGGCTGTACCCCAGCAACAAGCTAACCTATTGGTTGGAGTGTCTGCCCCCTGGTGATCAGTGCACATCATAGCAACTATTCACCATTTGACTGTCTGCTCCCTGGTGGCCAGTGCATGTCATAGCTAGTGGTTGAGCAGCCTTAGAATATCATTAGTATATTACTCTTTGATTGGTTGAACAGATGACCAGACACTTAGCATGTTAGGCTTTTATTATATAGGGTAAAAAGTATTTAAAATTAGAATTGTTCAAGAGTCTTCTTTCATTCAGTAAATCCAATCCTAACTGCCTTGAAAAATGTTGTTTGAGTAAAGAAAATTTAAAAAATAGAAAAGCTTCTTCCCCAAGGTTTGGGACTGTATTCTATGCTTTTATTACTCTTACTCTTCAGAATTTGAAGGGACTGACCACACTCTTTTCTTACAGTCCATCAGCCATTTTATGCAATACAGAGAAGTTTGGAATGTGGAGTTCACCTCGACGAATTCCTTCTCGTCCCTATTTTCCATCCTCAGGTGTATCAGCCTTCGGGGACATCCTAGACAGCACCTTGTCCACACTGCTGCTTTTTCCTTTCAAGTCGGTGGTGATCTTCATTTTCCTCCAGTTCTGTCATCCGCTGATCCCAGTCTTTCTACACACTACTGCTTGAAACAAACGATCAGCAACATCTTACCTGAGGGATATTTTCACACTTGCTGTAAAATACTTTTGCTCTAAAAATGAAGGGGTCAAGTCTTTTGCATGCTCACACTAACTGCTCTTTATTTTAAGACGGAAAGACTTCCAGAATGCTTTTACTTTCCATTTCAAGATTTGGTCCCTGAAAGACAAAGCTGGTGGTTACATTTAGTAATTCTATTTCATTTAATTCAATAAATACTTATTGCATGCTCCTATAATAAGAGAGGCACCTTCCTAATAAGTATGAGAACAATTGGAAGGCAACAAAAATGACGCTCAAGAAAATTCTATCTTCAATTTGAGGAAATAAATATGCCCAGGCATAAATAAGGTGAATGATGTATTAGATTATGGTATTATGTGAGTAGTCTAATATAGTCAAATTAATAAAGCTATTACAAATAATTTGAAAAGGTTTACTATAGGTGAAAAATAAAGCATTAGAGGAGATTTAAGAAAGGATATGTAATTCTCAACCCCATTGGTTCAAGATTTCATCATGGACGTTGCATTTGCACTAGATCTTGATGCAGGTGGAAGTGTGAACAGAGAAGTCTAGGAAATGGCATCCCCATGTTCAGAGGTAAAGAGCCATACTTTACATTCTACGAAGGGTAAATTATTTAGCTTGTCAACAAAACAAGTTTCTTGTGTTGGACTAAAACCAGGTAACGCTGGAAAATAAGACTGGAGCTAGGTTGTATAAAATACTGATAATCAGAACATGCAATTGGAATTTAAGTTTAATTGGCAATTAAAAAAACAGTAATTTGCAAAGGCTAATTGTGTGAACAAGAAGTTTCTTCTTTGACTACTAGACAGGAATTATCTTCATGATGGATTCCAGTTGGAAGACTTGTAGACAAGAAAAAAAATAATTTTAAGAAAAATGAGCAATATAGGAATGAATGGATGAGGTAAGACATGAGGTCATAGCAGTGGGAATGGAGAGGAAGCAATAGATGCAGGTGAAACTTAGAACAAAAAAAAACAGGTCTAGGAATACTAATAATAATAACACTTGAGTGGCATTTACTATGTACTAGGTTTTATTTTAAATCATTTTACTAGTATTTAATTTAACTTTCAAACAATTCTGAGAGGTAGATGCTAATGTTACCTACATTTGCACAAGGGTAAATTGAGGCAACCTTTAGCTAAGTAGATTGTCCTAGGTCAGTTAACTAGGAAATGGTAGGGCTGATACTTCAGTCCTGCCAGCCAAGCTCCATATGGCTACAGTTAACCACCGTACACCATTTTTCTAAAAAATAAATAACAGATTTCCAGCTTGATTGAACCAGAAAATTATCTTACCAATAGTCAGAGAAGCAGGTCCTCTTTTCTTCCTCCCCCCGACCCCTCAAGTGTATCCCTCTTTAAGTTAAGTCTTTGGGTAGGGAAAAAAAATTTGACCTTTAGGAAGAAATATTCCTTATGGTTCGTGATGAATGGCTTGTATACCTTCACTTCAATGTTTGGCAACAGGAGCAGAGAAATTTATGATATTGCTCAATTGTAAATTAGACTACTGAATATGTCACCTTAATATGATTTGTCTTCCTTCCTCTGTAGAGTTTAAAATGAAGGAAGTTTAGAGTGCTAAAGTACAGATTTACTATCTTGGGTCCATGAAAGACCAATTGTTTTAGACTTAGTTTACCTATCACACT